AAAGGTGCCAGAGAAGCAGCTAGCCAGGGCTCAAAAATGAATACAGGGATATTCACTGCAGTATTGTTTGGAATACCAAAACAACCTAAATGTTTTTAATACAGAAACAGCCTAAATGTCTGAGACCACAAACCAGGAAAATCCATGAGTAGCCTTTAGTTGGCAAAGTGACTGGTGAAAGTGGTCTCATCATATCTCTGTAAAAGCCTCATAAGCTTGCCTGGTCCCAGTTAGTTAGTGTTCGTGTACAGATATGCCTGTCCTGGGGAGCAAAGCATGGAGGGCACCCTGGTCCTGCACACCTGCAGCAGAGAACCAGACAGGGACCCAGGATGCTTGCTGGACTTCCTCTGTCCACGAGGACTTAACTCCACTTTCTAGAAGGAAAAATTGAATTCTTCCTACTAACTTCTCACCTTTTCCATGAAGTGAGGAACCTGGTAATTCAAGTCTACATGGAGCTCTCCCTTTTCTGACTTGTTATAGCAATTATCTGTTCATTAAAATAACCAAATTCTATGTATCGTTCTGTGGTTTTCACAACAGCATGTCTTATTTTCTTAAGTCTAGTGTGTGCTCCTTAAGAGTTAGTTCTCCGTGATAGGAGAGGCCATGGGAAGCAGGACATCTTTGGCACCTAAGGGTGCAGAAGCTGCTACTGAAGACACACAGATTTGTGGATGTTGGGCATCCAAAGACAGATTTTACCTGCGTTAAAATAGCAGCAGGATTCAGAAGGATTCTGTTAGGTGACCTTTATATATCTAAAGAATATGATTTTTCCTTCTTGAGATGAATTTCAGCCAATATTCAACCTTGGTGCCTAGAAATGTGTGCTGTCACAGTAGGAAAGGAACACATCAAATTGGAATCAATTTAATGTCAATTCTAAACCTACTCTAAATCAAGTATGCTATAAAAAAAAGCCCACTGCCGTCAAGTAGATTCCGACTCATAGTGATCCCCCCCCTTGGGTTTCCAAGGTGGTAAATCTTTACAGAAGTAGATTGCCTTTTCTTCCTTCCAAGGAGCAGCTGGTGGGTTTGGACCGCCAACCTTCTGGTTAGCAGTCAAATGCCTTAAGCACTGTACCAGCAGAGCTCCTTAAGTATACTATAAGCACCCCCAAAATGCCCTTCCTATAGCCATGGATGGTACCCCTTTCCCATCAGCCACCATGTGTCTTCCTCCTCTCTGCTCTCTTAACATCATAAAGAATATGGCAAGCTCATTCTTTTCTTTTAAGAGCTTGTTTTACATTCAACGTTATGTGTATTTTTAGTTTCACTTCCCTTTTACCATGCCCAACCCAAACCCAGTCTCTTCCCCTCCCTACCCAGTAACCCTCCCCCTGTGCCCCTCATATTTATGCACTCCTGTTTGTCCTGCATTTCCTCAATTTGAATGTTGGTCCTCTGGTGCCCCGTGGTCTGTTGCTCTAAGGGCGGTACTACCATAGAGTATGTGGGGGCATCATCCTGGGTTGAGTGGTCTGCGTGTACATCTTGTTAACTACTGGGCTGATAGCCAGCCCCTGGGAGTGAGTTTTATTTCAGGCGCAGAGTGTATTCCAGGGACATAGTATTGGGGGCCTCATCAGACTCTATCTGACCAGTAATTCTGGTCATTATTGAGTTTTTGGATTTTGTTCTATGTTTTTCCTCCCACTCTATCCAGGATCTTCAGATTTGATCCTTTCCTGAAAGGTTGGCATTGGTAGCCGGGCACCATCTAGTTCTTCTGGTCTCGAGGGCCATCGTATCCTAGGGCTAATTGCTTCCAAATGCCCCCCCCCTTTTTTTTTTTTTTGCATTCTTCTTCCCTTCTGACGCTGGGAAACCATTAGCTGCATCTTAGATGGCCTCTTGAAAACTTTTAAGACCCCAGTCACTACTCACCAATGTAGGATGCAGAACAAGGCTTATATTTTGTTGTGTCATTTGAGTCTGGTGTCCCCCAGTACTGTGGTCCTGAGACAGTAGATCTATTGCATCTCTCTCCCATAGTGTCTGGTTGTCTGTGAGGGATTACTCTGTGTCTGTCTTCTACTGTTTCTGTAAGGATTGCAGGTATCTTGTATCACTGGTGTCTGTGCTAGATTAGCCTGCACTGAGTCTATCCTTGGTCTAGAGTATACTTC